GCTGCAGCCGGCAGGGCCCGGACTGGTTCCCTCACGGGCGAAACCACGGATGGCATCATTGCCAGCAGCGGCCTCTGTCATCTCCCCGAATCCTTGCCCTCCTCGTTCACCATAGCGATCCAGGCTACGAAACCGCAGCGACCCAGCCACCGCTCCTCTCGCCAGGGCCAGCGAAGCTGTCGTGGGGTTCAGGGCAGAGCCCCAGCAGCACCCCAGCATCGCGAGACCCAACCTGTCACCCTGCTCTCCATCAGCCACCTCCAGACCTGTCTGTCCGTCTGTCCGTTCCCTGCAGCTGTGGCTGAACAAGAGCCACGAGAGCCGGGGGTGGCTGCTGTCAGCATCCCTTGGACACAGTCCCGCAGGAGCAGGTCCCAGGCTCCCTGTTCAGCCAAGGCTCCCAAGAGCCACCAGCCAGGGGGATGCTGGCAGGAGCTACAACTGTCTTGCCTGGATTTGAACCGCCCATGAGCCTCCACCGCAAACATTCGGAGGAAAAGGAAGGGGTAAAAGGAACGAAAACATTTAAAAAATTGTCTCGGCAGTGAGAGAAACTATGAAGCACTGAACAGCGATTGAAAAATTCGGTACTTGGAAAGCTTGGTAACCATATCTCCGACACGGGGTTTCCAGAGCAAGCCGCCCCGGCACTGCATCTGCCAACCTCCTTCCCCCAGCCGCCTGCTCCTGCTTTTATCTAAAGCCAAAGGTCAGAGGAAAGCCGTGAGCCCTCCTGCTGACCCCTCCTCACCTCCCAGATGCACCTTGGTCCCCTCCGTGCCAACAGTGAGGAAACCCACGGCATGGACGTGCGCCTTCCTCTGCCCCACTAACCTCCATCTCAGAACCCCCCCGGGTGAGGTGCATCCCACTTCACACTTATCTACATTCACGCTGAGGCAAGGAGCCATCCATCTTGGATGTATGGATGTAAAGCCAGAGGAGCTCCATGGGTGTCCAGGGGGTTACAGGAGACTTACAGGTCCCCCATTCGCCCCCCTGACCTGCTGCCGGCTGCAGCCTGAGGATGTAGATGCTGTTGGACCCTCACTGAGGCTTTCCTGACCTGTGAAACTATTCAGGTCTCAGCAGAACTCTGCGAGGTGACCCCCTCTCTGCTCTGGCGCGGCTCAGACCCCCCCAACAGAACACCCCTGCGATGCAGGGCGACTGGCTTTATACAGAGAAAAACCGTGTTTTCCAGCAAGGATTTATCTCCCCCAAAAGCAAACTGCCCTCACTAAGGAACACTGATGTTTACACGCCAGCACCTTGACCACCAGTAGAAAACAAATGACCAAAAGCGAAATCTGTGCACATGCATCTCAGGTCTTCTAAGCCAACCCAGCGATGAAGCCGAAATTTGGTACCAAATGCCACCGAGGTGCAGCAGAGACGCTTCCCAGCGCCCAAAATATGCCTTGGCGCCGACGCAAGGCTTCCCTCATTTAAAGGCGCAATTTACACTCAGCTGCTGAGTTATTAAAACCCTGCAGCCCTTTCAGCACGGGACTGCTTCACGTAGCAGTCTCCGAGGGTGGCATTCGGCTGTCTGCCTGGGAAATGCCCGTTCCCAGGGGATCCGCGCTCCCTCGGCGGAGTGGGGAGAGGCAGGCACTCCGAGGAGGGATGGAGCTCGCTGGGAAACCGGTGCCAAAGGAAGGCAGGGTGGAGCTCAGAGCTTCTACAGAGGTTATTTAGAAAAAGAAGAACCCAAGCGAAGTGGCTCTTCCCCAAGGAACTCAGGACCTGTGCTTCCCTCCAGACACACTGCGGACGGCTGTGTGACTCGTGGGCCCGACGCCGGGTGCCCGGAGTGCCTTGGAAACGGGGTTTTGTGTGGGAAAGGGAGGGCACCCACCAGCTGGTACCTCCTGGAGGGCATCGGCAACAGGGCCAGCGCTTCGGACCACACAGAGCCACGGCATCCTCAGCGAACGCCTTCCAGGGCCGTTCCCATCTGTCGAGAGCATGAGCCCTACTCCAGACCTGACTCCCGCTTTAGCCTCCGGTGACAGGGACCATCTTTCCCGTCCCCAACAGCAGACTCACAAATACCTCCACATTGCAAACAGGCCTGGACCAAACGATTCCAAGCAACTACGGCCATGGGTTCTCCACCCCCTGCATCCCCCCGGGATCCCTCGTTCTCCTCCCTGGCAACCCCAGGGCATCAATTTGAAGGCAGCCAGAAGAACTCTTGTAACTCAAAGAAAAGAGCATTCCCACCTCCCCTCTGCCGGAGGGCAATGCTGGCCCGGCCCCTCTGCCGCAGCCACCGCTCTGTCACCCCCCAGGTCACCTCCGCCCGAGACAATTTTGGCCAGAAATTTCCCAAAACCTTTGGGAAAGAAGGTGTTAGCTCGTCTTGGACAAACCAAGGGGATCAGGCAGAGCTCAGAGGCTGAGCGGGCATCCCTGGGGGCTGTGTGTCCCCCTCCCCGGGGGGGAGCGGGCAAGGCATGGAGATGGGGGCAGCTCCGAGCGGGGAGCCCGGCAGCGCATCAGCCCCAGCTGAGCCCCGGGAAACCCGGCGTGGGTGGTGGGGATCGCTCTTTCTTTGAGAGGGCCTGGGGGGAGCCAACCTACACCCTCGCTGTCTGGAGGGGGGGGCATCCTCCATCCCTCCTGGGCTCACGGCCAGGGTAGCCCCGGGAAGGACGGGGACACCTGCTCTGAACTTGGTTTTTGGAAAGGCACGCATCGAAATGTGCATGTGTATATATA